AAATTATAATTAATATAACTAGATTTAGATTAATTTTTTTATATTTGTGCTTATCTAGATAAAATTGTTGCGCTTTTCTAAGAATTAGTCACAAAAAAATTATATATAACAAATATAAAACTTATATAAATTATAATTAATATAATTAAATCCAAATTAATTTTTTTATATTTATACTTATCTAAATAAAATTATTATATTTTTATAAAAATTACTCACAAATAATTTCTTTAATTAAGTCATAAATATTTTCTTTATATTTAAATGCTTCCTCTAATTCACACTTTGAAAACAAAAATATTTGTATTATGTTAAACATTTTTAAAAAATTTAGAAGGCGGTGGCTGTTTTCCAATGCTGGCTCCCTCTTTGTCCTCACTGCCCCACCCCCGACAAGATGCGCATCCCTTGTCCTATGCTGGCTCCATCTCTGTTCTCAGGGGGTGCTGGGCATTTGGAAACTGAACCGATGGGTTACCTAAACCAAAAAAATGAATTTGGCTCAGTTTCAATGGTTTTTTATTTTTATTGTTTCAATTTTAATGTTAATCGAATAAATTTTGGTTTGGTTTTGGTTGAATCTTTCAAAAATCAAAAACCAAAAATAAGTCTCTTAAAAACCGAAATTACGATAAATATGATAAAATATAAGATAAAATATAATTTATTATTAGAAAAATAATTGATTAATATTTATTTAGTAAAAATTGAAACCAAACCGATTTTATTGGTAACCAAACCGATTGGTTTGTAAAAACTTCGGTTTGATTTTGATTCTCAAAATTAAAAAAAAAATTTGGTTATTTTAAAACCGATTTCGGTTTTAACTGAAACCAGTTTTTGCCCACCCCTACTGCCCCCTACAGAAATCTTCTCTTATAATAGATTGGATACCCTAATGAGTGTATGAAAGTTTTCGCTGTCCGTATCATTCTCCAAAAACCATGGAATCAAAAGCAATAAACCTGGGAAATTCCCTGCTTGTGCCTTGCGTTCAGGAGTTGGCAAGAGATAAGTCCTTAACAACAATCCCACCTAGATACATCCGTCCTAACCATCAGCAGCCTATTGCTTCAGATGCGGGGACTGAAATCCCTGTCATCGATATGCAGAGCTTGCTGTCTCAAGGATCAATGGAAGTAGAATTAGCCAAACTTGACTTTGCTTGTAGAGAATGGGGATTCTTCTAGGTACACCTTTATATACTCATACTAATTTATTTTTTTTTATTTTGATTGCATAATGAGAGATAATTATTTTTCATCCATAATCCTACCTCACCCGCATATTCAGGATCTCTTATTTTTAATGAAAAGAGATAACTACTGAATGATTTAGTGGTTGGTATATACTCATACTAATTAATATTACATAAACTTGGAATTCTTTTATAGTACGTTTGAGAACGTGATTTTGGTAGTGTATCTGAATTTTAACTTTCTAAATTTAATATTATTGTATGTTTTTACAAAATAAGTATGTAATTAAATTTATCTTAAATACATGTAATTAGCTTTATACATTTTATTATTTTAAATTTATGTATTTAAAATACTCAACTGTATGCGTTTCAAATTTAAATTTATGTATTTCAACTCTCTTCTCTTCCTAGAGAAATTTAGGGGAGAAATTTTGACGAATTTTGATGGTGGATGATTTCCGTTAGACAAAGGTGCCAGATGACCAATCTCTGGTATAAAGATGGAAAACAATTTATTATCAACTCTCTATTATTCCCTCCGAAGTTCTTGTTTTCTAGTCT